AAACTCCCCAGGAGGTTGTTGGCGATACCATCCTTTCATTCTAACGTTTCCCTCCAGCAAGCAGAGGAGTTTAAGTACCATGTCTACTCTGGAATACTGTCACATGCCTTGTAGCCATCCTTGATTTCTTTCTCTCGCACCCCATATTCAGTGCGTCAGCAGGCCCTGTTGGCTGTGCCTTAAATGAGTTCAGAATCTGATCACTTGTCACTACTGCACAAGTACACGCCTGGTCACAGCCCCCATGATCTTCCACCTGGGTTATTGCAATCACCTTCTAACTAGTCCACTCTTGGACAGCCAAAGTGATCTTTTAACACGCTTGTCACATCATGTCACTTCTCTGCTCAACACCCTCCTGTGGCTTCCTTTTTTAGTCATTAAAAGCCAAGGTCCTTATAGGTAGTCTAGTCCCATGGGCTCCTGTCCACTCTCCTCATTCATTGATCTCCAGAAGTGCTATTCTTTTTTTTTTTTTTTTTAAGAATATCACATAGAATTTTAAATGGGCTACCTTTCAAAGTAGTTGGCACAATTTATTTATTTATTTATTTATTTTTGTGGTACATGCCCCCAGCAGGAACCGAACCTGGAACTCTGGTCTGCAGGCCAATGCTCAACTGCTGAGCCTAACTGGCCAGGGCCAGAAGTGCTATTCTTCATGCTGTTTCTTGAGCAGGGTAAGTATGCTTCTGTATGTAGGTGTTTACACCTGCTGTTTCCTGTCCTGAGTGTTCTTTCCTTATGTCCACATGACTTACTCCTTCACTTCATTCATCCGCTTAGATGTCACCCTGTATGACAGACTTTCCCTGATCACTCTGTGTAAAGTAACAACCATTGCATGTACCGATTTCCCACCCCCTCCCCCAGCACTCCCTATCAGCAGCTTGCTTTCCCCTCCCTCTCTATAACACTTATCAACACCTGACACATTTATATGTTCTTTGTCAGCCATCCCCTCTAGAATGTAATAAGCTCCATGTGGCTAGGCATTTTTGTCTTGTTCCCTGCTGTACCACTGGTACCTAGAACAATGTCTGGCATGCAGTAGGTGTTAATTGTTGGGAAAAAAAAGAATAAATAGCATATGCCCAATATGGTTCTGTTGCTGATTATGGTGAATGGCCCATGTTCCGAGTGGCTAATATTGAACATATCCACATTATTGTCATGATTTTGACATTGGCAGTGCCCACTCTCAGAATGCTTTGGATCCACTTTGTGTCTTAAAAGCTGGCTGTATACTCTTAGCCATGACTAAGATTCCTCCACACTGTTATAGGATTTTGTTTTTTTTTTTAATTTATTTTTTGTTTGTTTGTTTGTTGTTGTTTTTTATCCTCACCAGAGGACATTTTTCCATTTTTTGTTCAGGTAGAGTGGGAGGGAGAGAGAGGAACAGAGAGAGAGAGAGAGAGAGAAACATCGATGTGAAAGGAACACACTGAGTGGCTGCCACCCACACAACCGACCAGGGCCGGGGACAAACTGCAACCGAGGTACGCGCCCTTAGTGGGAACCGAACCCGGGTCTCTCAGGACCGCAGGCCGATGCTCTAACCGCTGAGCCAAACCGGCCAGGGCTGTTATAGGGTTTTCCAAGAAGAAAAATATTCAAATTCGTTGTGAAAAACCAGCAGTTTTTTGAAGAGAAAGAATAGAAGGGAGCAATTTAACTACTAAGGTGGGTATTGAACTAGGTATATATCTAGGATAGATCGATAAAGCGCTGCTCAGATGTCAGCAGAGTAGGTGGAGTAGGCTTGTGTCGATCCACAAGGTTCTTGGGAAATGTTTCCTTCCCCACCAAGTTCCCTTAAGCCTAGAAATCTACAGCTGATGACTGGTTAATCCTTTATCCCTTATTAAAATAAAAATACTCTGAGAGAGAATATTAAGTTTCAGTAGTCATTAGTATCTTAGTGTGAATGACTCCAGATCCTTTCTTGAGAGCAGGTTTTGAAAAGGCAAAGGGAGAAAGTAGGAGCACATGAGAACTAAGAGGAATAGTGGAGACAGAAGTTCTGGAGCCAGGGAAGGAGCATAAAGTTGAGCTTGCCAGGGACAAACTTTGGCCTATTTTGTAGTTTTGCTCAGGGCTGTCTCTGGTAATCAAAGTACAGCAGGTCCTCAAATAATGTTTCACTATGACATTAATTTCTTTTTAAATTGAACCCCGGTTGGGGCCACTGTTTGGAGTTTGCATGTTCTTCCTGTGTCTGCATGGGTTTTCTCTGGATACTCCAGTTTCCTCCCATGTCCCAAATATGTGCACATGAGGTAAATTGATGTGTCTAAATTGTTCCCATCCGAGTGGGGGTGGGTGTGAGTATGCCCTGCAATGGAAGGGTGACCTGTCCAGGGTGGATCCCACCTTGTACCCTGAGCTGCTGGGATAGGTTCCAGCCACCCACAACTCTGAACTAAAATAACTGGGTTAGAAAAGAATGATCTTACTTGTTTTTATTAATCTTTCTTAAATGTGTGTAGAGCTCACATTTAGTTCAATGTTTAATATTAGAAGTGTTTTGGGTCTTTAAGTGTTTGATGATGTTTTTGTGTCCAGAACTTAACTCTTATTTATGTAAGTAAGCCTATGACTAAATTGATGTCATTATACCCTGTTTCACTTGAAGTCACAGTTTCCAGGAACCTATTGCCAATGTTAACTGAGGACTTACTGTACATATAATCTCTAGCTCCAGATTCCTCCATAGGCAAATTATGGCATTTAAAATGATAGCTATAGTTACCTGAAATGTTTTGATAACCCAGTGGGTACAAGATACGTTGGGAATGAAAAAGAAGGGTTGACCTAGAATGTAGTGGGACTGCAAGACTATCAGGTTTTTGGAAAGATAAGCAGGAAAGGGAGGAGGCATTGCATTATACATATGCACATGATCCTGGCCTAAGAAATAGGAAACCGAATGAAAAGAGTTTTTGTGTTAAGGTAAAATGAGTAAAATAGAGCACGAACTGCTCTCAGGTGGCATGCCAGAAATAAAAAGGTGAGATAGGCTTCTTTGAGCAACCAGCAATGGATAATGAGCGAAAATCTTAAAGATCAATATATACATGCTTTTATTTTATTGTAATTTTTTTTTGGTTGAGGTTTTTTGTTTGTTTGTTTTTTTAATCCTTATCCGAGGATATTTTTCTATTTATCTTGAGATAGAGTGGGAGGGAGAGAAAGGGAGAGAGACACATTGCGGTTGCCTCTCGCACATGTTTTTTTAAAAAAGTAGCAGGTCACACCTATCAAACAAGTACCTCAGTGTTTGAGGAATTTGGTTCTTATTGTAGTTTTTGTAATCAACCAGGGTAGATGCCTTGACTGATTTTTTATTTATGGTAGAAAAGAATTAGGCAAGAACCGACAGGTAGACAAAAACTTTGCTGGTGGTGACCACACGGTGATGAAAGTCAGGGTAATGTGCGAGCAGGGCATTTGTGCTCTAGTTAAAGGTTGGAAGTAGATGTTTTCACTCTTCAAGTTGCTTCCGGTCTGGAGAATGTGCCACTCACTAGCTGTATGAACTTGGGCAAGTAGGAAACCCCCACGTGTCAGTTTCCTTATCCATGAAATGGGAATGAATACTAATAGTTCCTATCGCTGAGGTCTTTTATTTTTGTTTTTATTATCATGTTTTTTTCTCACTGAAGTCTTTTTTAATATATATATATTTATTTAATCCTCACCTGAGGATACTTTTTCAAATACCTTCAGATAGAGTGGGGGAAGGGGAGAGAGAGAGAGAGAAACATTTATGTGAGAGAAACATCAATTGGCTGCCTCCCGCACAACCCCAACCAGGGCCAGAAACAAACTGCAACTGAGGTACGTGCCCTTGACGGGAATCAAACCCTCGGCTCTTTGGTCCGCCAGCCGATGCTCTAACTGCTGAGCCAAACTGGCCAGGGTTCTCACTGAAGTCTTTTAGAAGGATGAAATAAGGTCTTACATGTAATGGTGTAAAATAGTGGTTAAGACTGTGGAGTCAAGTCAGATTGCCCGGTTCGCGTCTTGGAGCTGCCGTTTCTTATGTGCGCTGGGGCAGGTGACTGACCTCTCTCTATGCCTCACTTCCTTCATCTGCTAAACGGAGATACACTACCTCATAGGATTTCTATGAGGATTAAATGGTTTGCGCATAAAATGCTTAGAAGAGTATCTGGCACAAAGTGAGCATTCAGTAAGTGTTAGCAATCATTTGCAGGGTTCTTGACACACAGTGATCAATACATGGGTCTCATCTTCTTGGTATCCCTACTTGTCTAGGCCTCCTCTCAAGGTTCACTCCACCCCATCCTGACTTAGAATGAAGTTCTAGAAATGTCTCAAGCCATTTGTGGTCACAAGTAATAGAGGTGCGAAGTCTATCTCATAGAGCAACAATTTTCAACCCATTTCATCTCATGGCACACATAAACTAATTACTAAAATTCTGCGGAACAGCCCTAGCTGGTGTGGCTGAGTGGTTAGAGTCCAGCCCGTGGATCAAAGGGTCTCGGGTTTGATTCCCAGTCAAGGGCATGTACCTGGGTTATAGGTTTGTTCCCTGGCCCTGGTTGGGGTCCATGCAGGAGGCAACCAATTGATGTGTTTCTCTCACATCAATGTTTCTCTCCCTTCCTCCTTCCCTCCCATTTTTCTCTCAAGTGTGAGGCCTGAGAGAAAAGGAGCTTTTTTCTCCTCTTCTGTGGGAACTCTGCTCCAGAAATGGTTCTCTCAAGAAGGTCAAGAGGGTACGAAATGAGGGGTTCAGGGAGATAGACCAGTGAGCAGAGCTGTTGGCAGAGGGCTCTGTCACACAGCTTGGTGGATCCAGTGGGAGAGTGTTGTAAAAATTCCCCCCATTCCTAGAACTAGGACCTTGGGTCTGAATCTAGTTACAACAAAGAGTGTATCTTGCTTACTGGGATGTATTAAATGTATATCGTTTCTTGAGTTTCTTTTCTCTTAACTCATAAGTCATTCTTCCTTCTCCCTCATCCTCCAAGTCCAATCCATTAGCAAGGCCTGTTGACTCTTCAGAGCATCTCTCCAATCCACCTACTTCTCTCAGTCTCAACTGCCACCTCTCCAGTCTATCATAGCTCTCATCTGCATTCCTGCTGTAGCCCCCTAAACATTTTTCTGTTACCCTTTTTTGCCCCAGTAAAACCCATTCTCCACTTAGCAGCCAATGTCAACATTAAAACAAATTTTAATAGCTTTAGATAGATAAAAATCACATATACAAATGGCCCATTTAAAATGTTCAATTCGATGTTTTTAGTTTACTCAACATAGCTGTATAACCATTACCAAAATCATTCTCATCACCCCAAAAAGAAACTTGGTACTCAATAGCAGTCACTCCCCATATACCCCCACTCCTCCATCCCCCACCAGCCTTAGGCAACCACTAATACATTTTCTGTCTCTATGGATTTGCCTTTTCTGGATATATCATATAATTGGAATCATAATATGTGTCTTTTGTGACCGGTTTCTTTAACTTAGAATAAGGTTTTCAAGGTTCATTTATGTTGTAGCATGTGTTTATAAAATGAATATTATTTTTTATTTCTAAATAATATACCATTGGCCCTCGCCAGTTTGGCTCAGCAGTTAGAGCGTTGGCCTGCAGTCTGGAGAGACCTGGGTTCGGTTCACGCTAAGGGCTCGTACCTCGGTTGCAGTTTGTCCCCGGTCCTGGTTGGGTCATGTGGGTGGCAGCCACTTGATGTGTCCCTTTTACGTTGATGTTTCTCTCTCTTTCTCTCTCCCTCCCACTCTAGCTGAACAAAATATCAAAAAATGTCCTCGGGTGAGGGTAAAAATAAATAAATAATATACCATTGTATGGATTATACCACATTTATTTATTAATTCATCAGGTGCTGGATGCTTGGGTTGTTTCTACTTCTTGGCTATTGTGAATAATGCTGCTGTGAACATTTGTGTATAACTTTGTGTGCGTATATATTTTCATTTTTCTTGAGTGCATGCTTAGGAGTGAAATTGCTGGATCATATATGATTCTATGCCTAACTTTTTGAGGAACTATTGAACTGTTTTCGAAAGTGGCTGCACCATTTAAAATTCCCTGCAGCAGTGTATTAGGGTTCCAATTTCCCCACATCCTCGCTATCTCTTGTTATTATAGTTATCCTAGTAGATGTGAAATCATAGCTCATTATGGTTTTGATTTGCATTTTTCTGATGGCTAATGATGTTGAGCATCTTTTCACATTGGACATTTATACATCTTTAGAAGGAAGAAAACATTCTCTTCCTAAGAGAAATGTTTTTTAGAATCCCTTGTCCATTTAAAAAATTGGGTTGTCTTTTCATTACTGAGTTGTAAGATTTCTTTCCATATTTTAGATATAAATCCCTTATGATCTACAGATATTATCTCCTGTTCTGTGGGTTTTCTTTTCACTTTCTTGATGGTGTCCTTGAAACCACAAGTTTCTAATTTTGATAAAGTCCAATTTATCTGTTTGTTTGTTTTTATGTGCTTTTGGTGTCATATCTAAGAAGGCTTTGCCTAATCCAAGGTTACAAATATTTACTTCTGTATTTTCTTTTAAGCGTTGTATACCTTTAGCTGATACACTTAAGTCTGTTCTCCATTTTGAGTTAGTTTTATACATGATATGAGGTAGGGTTCCAACTTCATTCTTTTGCATGTGGAAATCCAGTTGTCCCAATGCCATTTGTTGAAGAGACTGTTCTTCCTCCATTGCATTATCTTGGCACCCTTGTCAAAAATTAGGTTAACTACAAATGTGAGGGTTTATTTCTGAACAGCATGAACCTTTTAAAACATTTACACTTGCGCCTGGCCGGTGTGGCTCAATGGTTGAGCGGTGACCCTTGCACCAAGAGGTCGCCAGTTTGCTACCCTGTCAGGGCACATGCCCAGGTTGTGGGCCCAATCCCCAGTGGGGGGCATGCAGGAGGCGGCCATTCGATGTTCTCTCTCATTGATGTTTCTATCTCTCTCTTCCTCTCTCTAAAATCAATAAAGAAAATACTTAAAAAAATATAAAACCTTTACACTTATGTGAGGGAGGGAGAGTTAGTGATTGGAAGGGACTATAAGGGGGGCTTCTGAGGTAATGGGAATGTTCTGTTTCATGAACTTAGTGGTGGTCACACAGTTGTATTTAGTTTATGAAAACTGTATACACTTAAGATAATGGACTTTTCTTTTTGTATATTATACTGCAATAAAAAGTTCTCTCTCTTTTAAGGAGTTTATTGGCTTTGCTTTTATTCAGTGTACCAGTTATTGTTGCTTTGTAAGAAACCACCCAAAACTTACTCATGTAAAATAATCATTTTATTCTGCCCACAGATTCTGTGGGTCAGGAATTTAAAAAGAGTACAGTGGAGACAGTTCCATGATGCCTTGAGCCTCAGCTGGGAAGACTCAAAGGCTAGAGATGACTCAACAGCTGGGATTGAAAGCAACTGGAAGTGTCTTCATTCATGTACTTGGTGGGTTTTCCTGATGATTGGCTTTGATCTCAGCTGGTTTGTTGCCTGAAACATCTACACATGTTCTCTCCGTTGTCTCACTACTTGGGGTAGTTTGGGCTTCCTCACAGTATGGCTGCTGGGTTCTAAGAGCAAATGTTCCAAAAGAACCAGGCAGAAGCTATATTGGCTTTTATGACCTAGCTTCAGAGGTCACACAGTGACACTTATACCAGAGTCCAATCTGCCATAATGACTCAAATGGAGAGACATGCATGTCCTCTCTTACTGGGAGGAATGTCACAATATCATTGTAAGAATACCATATAAGATGGGAGATACTGTCATGATCATCTTTGGAAAATAAAACCTGTCACACCTGGATACCTGAGCACTATTTTTAAAAAATGTAACAAAAATTAATCAATTCATGATTCAAACTTCAACTGAATCCTTTACACCACCTGGCAATCCTACATCATTTCTCTGCTGAACTTGTTTCAACTTGGCGATGGTTTCAGACCTCCTCTGCTATAGTAGGCGCTATGCGTGTCTCACCTAACACCCATTCCTACCCCCTTATTCCCTGTCCCTGTCCTTGAAGGAGGTGAGAAAAGCTAAACACTCACTTTTTTAGCCTTTTTGGCAACTATGTGACAGTTCTAGTCAGTGAGATATAAATAGAAATCTACTAGGGTGCTTCTGGGCAAGCTCTTGCCTTGAACAAGAAAATGATACATGGAGTGGAGGCAGCCAGCCACACTGTGACCCTCAGGGAAAGGTCCCCCTGCTCCTCCACCTCCTCTCTATTCTCCAGATGACGTTCCCTGTTCCTTTATAGAGAAAAGTTTTCAGCTTGTCATTCTCTTGTCACCAAACTTACCTACTTACCTGCACACCATCCTGTTTCCTCCTTCCCTTCCATTACAATAGAAGAGGGGTCCCTACTCCATGGGTGGGGAAGTGGGGGGTAAACAGGGAGATGCCAATCTTGCATCCATTTTATCTTCCTCTTTCTGTTCTGGTTTTCTGATGCACCCTCATGTTCTGGGCCTCTCACTCATCAATGTCACCTTAAACAGGCCATTAAAGTAGCAAATATTTTATCCTGTGGATTCTAAGCCAAATAAAGGTACTGCATTAGGCATTGGGGTATGCCAGTGCTAAGAAAGAGACAGCCCAAGTAAAGAGAAAACTATTTACAAGGCAGGGGAATGAAGCCTTGAAGAGACTGAATCACAATGTGGCTGGAAGGGCAGAGTGTACAAAGGGCTGAGGAGGCTGGACTGGAGAGGAAGACAGGCCAGAGTGAGCAAAGTGCTATGTACCAGACAAGGTAATGGTTTTGGTTTTAACCCTAAATCATTGGGACAGGAAGTGAATTAATCTCTCTGAGCCTCAATCTCTACTTCGGAAAATACATTTTAGAACTATTTGCTTAGTTCTCAGTCTCTGTACTTGCTTCAGAGTGCTTCAAGGGCAAAGACCTGTACAGAGGTGAGCAAAAGTAGGTTTACAGTTGTGAGCATGTGAAACAGTTCATTCTTTTTTTAAAATATGTTTTTATGATTTTTTTTTTTAGAGAGAGACAAAGGGAGAGAAAGATAGAAACATTGATGTGAAAGAGAAACATCAATCAGCTGCCTCCTGCACACCCCTTACTGGACATTGAGCCTGTAACCCAGGCATGTTCCTTGACAGGAATTGAACCATGGGACAACACTCAATCCACTAAGCCACACCCACTGGGAGCCACACCCACTGGGCCAGAGAGTATTCTTTTTTTTTTTTTTCTTGACTTTTAGAGAGCGAGGAAGGGAGAGGGAGAGGGAGATAGAAATATCAATGAGAGAGAACATAGATTGGTCACCTCCTGCATGCCCCCCACTGGGGATTTGGCCCACAACCTGGGCATGTGCCCTGACCAGGAATCAAACCATCCACCTCTTGGTGCATGGTTGACGCTCACACTGAGCCACACCAGCCGGGCCAGAGTTTGTTCTTGTATTATTATTTATTTACTAATTATTGTATGATTTATTTATATTACTTGTATTTTTATTATTCTCTTATTAGTTATTATTTTGTATCCTTACTTATGATTTATCTTTTAGGTAATGCCGACTGATAATTTAACGTACTTTTGCCCACCCCTGTATCTTTTTATTATTATTTTTAATTCTCACTGGAGGATACTTCTCCATTTATTTTCAGACAGAGTGGGAGGGACAAAGAGAGAGAGAAACATTGGTGCCTCCCCCACGGCCCCAACCAGGGCCCCAGCGAACTGCAACCGAGGTACTGCCCTTGCAGGAATGGAACTCAGGACTCCTGGCCCACTGGCCGGGGCTCCAACCGCTGAGCCAAACAGGCCAGGGCACCCTCTGTATATTTAACACATCTCTTGTATCTGCATGGTAGGCACTTAATAATGCCTATTGGATGAATAAGATGATACTCTGGAGTCCCCCACAGACTTCAGTTATTAATCCATCAGTTAATACTCTTTCTCATTCCTCTTTTCCCTCCCATTCTTCTTCTCCTTTCGCACACCTCCTATAATCCCTTTCTGGCTTCCCGCCTCCCTTCCTCTCCCGCCCCCTCCGTCGCAAAGGCGGAGAAGACAAGGCGGGCTTTACGGCAGCCGCGTTGCGGCGGGGCGGGGCGCTGGGCGGCGGGAGCGCTTGGCGGCAGCGGTGGGAGGCAGGCCGGCAGGCAGGCAGACGGAGTCGCAGGCGGGTGGCGGCGGCTGTGCTCGCTAGTGAGGGCGGGAGGGAGTGAGTCACTGAGCGTGTGTGAGGGAGGAAAGGAGCGAGCGGTCGAGCAGGCAGCCCGCGCCGTCCTTCCGCAGCACCAGCCAGGCCCTGCCGCCGCCCGCAGCCCTGCGCCGAGGCCGGGCCGAGCCGAACCGAGCTGGGTCGGGCCCGGGCCATGCTGCTCACCGTGTACTGTGTGCGGAGGGACCTCTCCGAGGTGACCTTTTCCCTCCAGGTCGACGCCGACTTCGAGCTGCACAACTTCCGCGCGCTGTGCGAGCTGGAGTCCGGCATCCCCGCAGCCGAGAGCCAGGTACGCCGGGCGGCGAGCGGGGCCTCCCTCGGGAGCGAGCCCTCCCGCCTCGGGGCCTCACGCCCTTCCTTTGCTGCTGGTGAAGACTTGGGGGTGGGGGAGCAGGATGGCCTTTTCTCAGCTCGCCCCTGCATCGGGAGGGAGCTGGAATCGGTAGCTGCCCCCACACACACACTCTTAGCGTGGGGTGGGGTGCCCGGGAGGGAGCGGAGAACCTGACCTCAGACGCACCCACTGCAGCCTGAGGGGCGCGTGGACTGTTGGGCGGCCCGCCCTACCTTCTGGCTCTTTGGCCCATTCTCCCTTAATAGCTCCAGTTTGGGGTGTCGTGGTGGACCTAAGAAGAAGCCCTAGGTTTTCAAAAGTTCATATACAACCTGCTTCCCCAACCAGAAATACCAGTTTGGATCACTGGTAGATGTTCACCTGCACTTCTGGAGAGGGTTCCTGCTTACGTAAGCGTAACTTACCTTTAAATGTATAGATTTGCGCTCTAAGCGAAGGGAAAAGTTTGAGACTGACACTGCCTTGTTTTGAGGCCTTTGAAAATGCTTTTCCTCTTTCCCCTACCACATTGGTTTCTGGTTAAATTCTCTAAAAAAACAAAAACAGGTTATGAGTGCACTGTTTGTTTCTCTGGTTTCTTCCCTGGTGTTAGGCCCAAATCCCTTTTTTTTCCAGGTCACAATTGAAGTTTGGATCAGGTCAAAGCTCAGTGTTTTATGAGGATATTTGCAAATCCACTATCTTCTCAGAGTGATTTGCTTGTCTCAGTTCCCAACCCTACCCAGCTGGGTGGAAGAAGTTAAGCTGCTCTTACATTTTTTAAAATTTCTATTATTTTTAATCTTCAGCTGAGGGTATTTTTCCACTGGTTTTTTAGATAGAGTGGGAGGGAGGGAGGGAGGGAGGGAGAGAGAGAGAGAGACATCAATTGGCTGTCTCCTGCAGGACCCCAACCAGGGCCAGGGATCGAACCTGCAACCGAGGTACAGGCCATTGATTGGGAACTGAGTGGGTTGGAGGGTGAGGCTCTAACTGCTGAGCCAAACTGGCCAGGGCTGCTCTTACATTTTAAATAAGCTAAGTAGTTTATTCTCAAAGTGCTTTGGGGCTGCCAACAAACAGAATTGGTGACAATAACACTGTGGCCTTCACATTAACATTTAAATCCTGACTTGATAAATCTAAATATTAAGAAAACTAAAGTTTGCCAAGGCCCAAAAAGGTACATCTTGAATTCCTACTGCAGTTATGAAATAGTTCTAAAAACTATTGCCCAACTACAGCTTGCTCTGCCCTATGTTATGGTAAACACACAGGTTAATATTTTCTTCAGAAGTGAGTATGATTCCTTTGTGAACTTTATAACTTTGACATAAAGCTGAATATCAAAAAGAATTTATTTCAGGACACTGTCACTCAAATACGCAGTCTGGCAAAAGCTACAAAGAAATTAGTAAGAGGGATTTTTTGCAACTTCTATAAAAAGCTAATCCACAAAAACTCAGGAACCAGTTCCTGTCAATGAATCCCTCAAGTGGAGAGCAAGGAAAGGACAGTTTAAATAGGGAAGGAAAATTAACTTTTAAATTTTTGAAGGTGTTTTTTTCCTCCCATTCTCCTCTCTCTGGCTGTTGTATTACCTTGGTTATAATCACCAGCTGGTAGGGGAAATAAAAATTAAAATGTAAATTGATTTTGTCACTAGGGCTTGGGAGAAGACAGATGTAACACGAAATTTAAATAAATTAAAGAGGGCTTAAGATTGAAAAACAGTTGTATGGTAAAGGCAGGCACTGTCCTCTGCCAGCTTAGAATATTAGGAATACCTTGCCAATTGAACAAATATGCTAACTCCAAATACTTCTTTTTGTTGTTGTTGTTGTTGTTCTTCACCCAAGGATAAATTTTATCTCACTAGATAGAGTGGGAGGGAGGGAGAGAGAAAC